TGGGTCTTCTCCCCCCCTCTGTAGACAGGGCCTAACCAATAGTATCCACCATTGTAGAGGGTAAATTGTTGCATGTTTTGCTTCATGCAGCTGTATAAAACACTTTGTAGTTTGCTAAGCTCATGAGTAAGCGCGGGGCTGCATGAGCCAATACAGCTGTGAGGCGGGGGTAGCCCGCGTCGCCTGCCCCATCGGAGCCAGGCTGTACTCCGGCGCTTGGTGAGAGTCGCCGGCGTCAGGATAGATATCTCCACAGCTAGAAGGGAGCCAAAGCATTCAGTATAGTACGCCCGCCCGGTGCAGGTGCCCCCCCCCTCATCTCTCTAGCCGCCTGAGCACACCTGCACAGGGGCTGGGGGTAGACAACTCTCCTTGCTTGCAACAGTTTCTGCTGCTACACCTGCTGCTGCATGCACCACCGCATGCATGCATGCTCAAGCCCCGTGAATGCACTAACACCGCAGGCAACTGTGGAGCCAGAGTAATGTTCTTATCCTTAGTTGTTGTACGACCCGGGATATAACCACCTACGCGTAACACACCCAGCTGTCCCCGCAGTATATAATGTTGCTGGGGTCTGTACAGCTGGGTAACTGGAGCTAGCCGTGGCTAGCCGTGGCTAGCTGTGGCTAGCCATGGCTAGCCACAGCTGGACTGAGCTGAGAGGCAGAGAGGCCTCAGCTTTGTCTCCCCACATCCCCAGAAGAACAATGCAACGAACAGAGACAAAAGGCGTGGCATTGACTAGCTTTAGCTGTTTGCATGCAGGTCGCGAGCCCCGTCATTGCATGCGCTTTGTTTTGTATATTTTTTTTTGTTCTTTTATGGGTTACTGTAGAGGCAACTGAGCCTGGAAGGGGCTTATATAACAACGGCACTAGCTAGCTAGCCACAACACTAGCTAGCTAGCCAAAGTATTAGCTAGCTAGCCACAACATTAGCTAGCNACTAGCTAGCTAGCCACAACACTAGCTAGCTAGCCAAAGTATTAGCTAGCTAGCCACAACATTAGCTAGCTAGTCACAACACTAGCTAGCTAGCTAGGATACTAGCTAGCTAGCCACGGCACTGGCTAGCCAGCTAGCCACGACATCAGCTAGCTAGCGAGGATACTAGCTAGCTAGCCTCTAGTAGATCACTAAATAAATTAAATGCAGCGAATGCGGCGATAAAAAGCAAAAAGAAATGAATTTATGTTGCCTCAGTTTGTGAAGGAAGAAAGCAAGAGAGTTGCGGTGTACATACACCCGAGACTTCAGCATCTTTCCTCAGCTGCTAGGAGGAGAAGATCTGTGGTTTAGTTTATTGTTTACTATTGCTTTCTGTACTAGGCCCCGTACCTCCGTCAACACCAAAGAAACCAGCCCCAAACGCATGCGTTGCTCGCATGCAGCATTGACTTGTCTCTTCTTGCTGCAGGGTGTAATCAGTTCTATCTTATCTGCTGTTGTAGGGGCCACTCCACCCATAAGAAAAGGTGTCTGCTGCTGCTGCTGCTGCTGCTGCTGCTGCTGCTGCTGCTGCGTCAGCAGCTCCTCTGCATCCATCTGTGAAGCTAAACGATCTAAACACCCCTGCAGGGACTGGCTCTGTCGCTGCAGCAGCAGCAAACCCATACGATAGAAGGGGCCCATCTCCCCCTCACTGCTGCTGCTGCTGCTGCTGCTGCTGCCGCTGCTGCTGCTGCTGCTGCTGCTGCTGCTGCTGCTGCTGCTGCTGCTGCTGCTGCTGCTGGGGCTGGGGAGAAAGATAAGCTTAAGCCAGTTAAGAACGCAGGAGATTCTCTCTGAGCCTTCTGCTATTGGCTCGTGTCTAGCGATGAGTTGTGTTGTTACTATAAAAACCAAAATATTTAAATTTATATCTATATTATTCTCTTCTTTTCCTGCTTCTCCTGCTGCTTCTTTGTCTCCTGCTGCTGCTGCTGCTGCTGCTGCTGCTGCTGGTGCTGCTGCTGCTGGTGCTGCTGCTGCTGCTGCTGCTGCTGCTGGTGCTGCTGCTGCTGCTGCTGGTTCTGCTGCATCTTGTGATGGTTCTGCTGCTGCTGCTGCTGCTGGTACAAGTCCGTTTTCCTCCCGCTGCTCCTGCTGCTCCTGCTGCTGCTGCTGCTGCTGCTGCTGCTGCTGCTGCTGCTGGAGCTTGTGCTGCTGCAGCACCTGAGCACACCACCGCTGCTTTATAAGTATAAGAACTGCAGCGCATGCAGCGTCAGGCAGTGGCTGCTCTTTGGGGCTGAGTAGACACCTGAATAGATAAGTCTGAGCTCGCCAGCTGAATACCCCGGTTAGCTGTACACACACAAAAAAAAAATATTAAAAAATAAAATAAAATAAAATAAAATAAAATAAAACAAAATAAAATAAATTAAGACAATTACACTACATATATATATATATATATATAATAAATATTTATGTAAATATATTTATTCTCGTTGTTTTTCTTTCTCTTATTTGCGGGTCCATGCAGCTCCTTCATAACAAACTT